TGTAGTTTCCTTTAATCTGAGGGTAGAGGGAAGGGAGGCGGGTAGTGGGATCTTTGGCTTTCAAGGTTGAGGGTTTCGGGGACAGGTTTTCAAGGTAGCTGTCTCCTTTCTGATGCATGCAGTTGGCGTCCTTTCGAGCTTTCTCTGGGCCTTGCATCTTTTTTTGTTGGGATTTTTCGATGCCTGGGCTCTATTTCTTTGATCATTTCATGGCATCAAGAAGCCCTGAAACCCCGTGCTGCCCCTGGTCCTCGTGCTGCGAGGCCATCGGAGCTGAAGTCATGATGGGCCTACGTAGAACTATAGTACGACAGTGTTGTGCCATCGGGTTCGGGTCTGTTCTAGGGTGACCCCCGCCCCCCGCATGCCCATGTCAATGTTGCATTGCTGACTGATGGTGTGGCCCAGGTCCAGCTGACAAACGCGATGTGCCCGACCTCAATTTTGGCAAGGGCCTCCTACACCCTAAACCCTAAACCCTAAACCCCCAAAACCAAATTTCACGAAAGCAGCATGAATGTTGGAAGACCCGGGCAGTTCAGGGCCGAGGAACATGTGCAAGCTGCCTGACGAATTTTCGTGGCATGCTATTTACGGCCTCTGCACGATTCCGAGACTTTGGAATTAAGCCTTATGAACCTTAACCTCAACCCCAGGGCGACTCGCAAAAGTCTCAAGATACCGTCGCGGACCGTCGTGCTGTAAGATAGTCTGTGGAAGCCCGAATGTCGAAACGGAACTCCGCATGCAGAGACCACTCTTCCTCAATCATAAACCTCGAAGTCAAGATCCTGAAGTCTTACGCAACCGAGTCTGCAGGCTGCAGGCTTTCGGGCTGCTCATGGAACACCTGCATGAACTCTTGGCAATGGGCCTAAGGAATAGGGTCTAGGGTTTAGGTGAAGTATGATATGCCGCCCCTCCCTATACAACACAGAGGAGACTGTCGCCGTTGCCCGCCAGGCAACGCTTCAGCTAGAGAGAACAGGTGCCTCTTGAAGGGAAAGCAAGAAGTTCCAGCCGTCTCGACTTCTCCCGGCTCAATCCCTGAGAGTAGCCTCGTAATACCCTTGTGGTACCGCTTCGAGCAGCTTTGGTATCCGGTAAAGCCGCCCCTACAAACTTGGGGCACTCACGGAAAAGCCAAAAAACGCCGAGACCCCCAATCCCTGAGGCGCCCTAAACTCGTAACCTCCGACCTCAAACCTTCCCTTTTTGAGGAACGGTGAGGAGATCTGCACAGTGAATGCCAGCAGCCAGTGGACATTTTGACCGCAATGGAGGGGTCAAGCTTGGGCAGACGGTGGGACCGAGGTTTCGGGACTTGCAGCAACGGGATTGAGCTCTGAAGACTTTCAGATTCAGGGCCCCAGGGTTCCAAGAAGCCCGACAAGGAGTCGTGGTTCGGCTGGTAGGGTGGGGGCTGACTATGGCGCGGGAAAGGACCGGGACGAGCCACAAAAACTTTAAAAACGGCCGAAGCACCCAATTACGAGTCTTAATGATGTGGCAATATAAAGTATACTCCAAAACCCTGTTCTTTGTGAGGACCTTGGATCACAAGCCCCTGAACACTCGCCTCTAAATTCAGTGCCCGCCCTGAAGATCTGTTACACATTATCTGAGAAGTATCTGTCATATGATTTCTATCCATATTACTACATATTTCTACATACGACTACATATTGCTACATATGACTACATACTATGTCCATCACTACATGACAGCATAAAGCCAGCGTTGCTCGTTTAAGGATTTTCAGCCTTCGGCCTGATGAGAGCAAGGGCACTGTTTGCTGAAGGCGGTTTAGGGTTTAGGGTTTAGGGGCAGCTTCGAACCAGGCACACCAACATCAAGAACCCAATACCCCTGAATGAAGGAATACACCGTAAATCATAATATTAGGGCCCCTATAATTTAAGGTCTATTCCTTAAATAAAGGGGTATTGGGTTCTCTGGGAACACAAAGAGCTTTGCCAATTCTCATCCAAGATGGTCTGCCGCTTTTCCACGCGTATGACATCACTCGCTCTGCATCGTCTCGCCGCCCAAAAGGCCTAGAGCCCGAAAGGCCTAGAAACCTCAAAGCGCCACAAGCCTTGAACGGTCGCAAAGCCCCCTGGAAAGTAATAAAGCACTGCAGCAAAACCCTAAACCCTAAACCCTAAACCCTAAACCCAGCCGACCCCCTTTAAAGGACCATCGCCCTTCTGGCCCGCGCCGCGGCATCCCAGGCGCCATCTCCAGGCCAAGCGAAACAGAGGGTTTTATTTGGGGTTTCTATTTTGCGGCCCAGTCTCAAGCTTTGTGCTGAGCTAGTTAGTTAGTTAGTTAGTTAGTTAATTAGTTAGTTAGTTAGTTAGTTATCTTGTAGGATTAGTTGGCTCCCCGGCATTTCGTACGATCTTCAGAGCCGCTGTTGTGCAGGAGGGATTTGGAGTTTGGTGCGGCTTCCCGGGTGCTGGTGTCAGGGTTTACGGATCAGGCAAGAGGTGTTCACGGTTAGCGAGACTTGAGGGATATTTAATTCAGTTTGCTGTTTCTTGTTACGATGGAAACGGTCCTAATACTCGAAAGATATTGGTGATGGTAACGGCGGTGATGTAAACTTTAAATGCTGGCTCTTCTCAAGTTTTGATGAGGTGTTTTTTGTGAGCGAGTCCTTCGGAGAACTATCGCCCTCCGACCCTAAACCCTAAACCCTAAACCCTAAACCCTAAACCCTAAACCCTAAACCGTGGGGGTTGCCTACACCCTGAAGTCCCCAACGACCCAACTTTGCCAGCCTGTCCAGCTCGCATGTCACGAAGGTGGCACTCTTATTCTTACTAGAACGGTAATCAAGCGGCTTGAATATGCAACAACGCGATCCCTAAGGGCTCCTTAATGCATTTATACTATTCATACTGATTTATACTGTGCTATACTACGCCAGGCTATGCTATACTATACTATACTGTACTACATTATGCGCTACTCTACTCTACTCTATCCTACTCTACTCTACTATACGATGCTATATTGTACCATACTCTACTATACTAAAAACCTCGTATTACGGCAAAATATCACCCAGGCGGCTGCCGCATCTTCCTGAAGGGCGCGGGGGCGCTGACGGCAGGGACGGTGCTCTCCGATCTCCAGGATTCTTAGAATTCGGAGTTGGCCAGGCTCAGTATAGGTCTTGGCACAGTTGGAAATACGATGCCTCGGGTATGTTTTAAAAAGTTGCATGGTGATAGCACAATGTACCCGAAAAGCTTGTTCCAATTATTGCCGCCCCTACATCGCGAGTCTTCGGGTTCAAGGGTCTTAGGACCTGACCTACGCTTTCAACATGCAGGGCTTTTTCAGGGCAGAAGGTTTTGGGACTCATCTGCGAAGGTGCGCGACATGGGTTTTTTGCTCCATTCCTGCATTGTGAGGTTCACACAGGCAACCTCCACGGAGTGTATGAGCCAGTTTTTCAGAGGACGGAGGATGTCGGAAGTTTGACACTAGGCTCCGGAACATGAACATTTGGGGCGTTTCCCGCCAGACTGTCAAAGTAGCCAACCTGTACGAAACTTCATGCATCTTCCGTCGACAGTTGCAAGAGATGCGGTGCAGCAGCCTTTGCCAAGACGTAGTCACCGCGGCTCTCTCATGTTTCTCTCAGGCTTTATTCCGCTTGCTACCCCTCTCCCCTACGCCGTAAACCCTAAACCCTCACCCGCGTGTGAGTACGAGAGGCAAAACCCTCAAGCCTAAACTCCTCTCGTATCGAAAAAGGAGGATGCCGAGGAAACCATCCAGCTATCTACCCTGGTGTGACCCGGCACAGAATTGCTGAGAGTCCGCTCTGCCGGTTCGGGGTTCAGGGTGATGGACATATGAGAGAGACACACGGACAGGTGCAGAGTCATGGCGAGAGCAAGACAAGACAGAGAGGGAGAGAGAGGGAGATAGCCGTAGCCATTCAAGTGCTTGACCAGAACTGGAAGGAATAGTGGGATCCGCTCGATGACTCCGGTGACATCCCCGCTCCTGGTCCCGCGCTTTGCCATCCAACAACTACCAGGGCTTTTGGTATTGGCCGTACTGCTGTGACGCAGATGTGTCTCCTGCGTTCTCTTGGCAACAAAAGCGCAAGAGTTTGAGGTATAAAGCTCGAATACTGGAGCAACTGCTGAACCAGGAAGATGCTTTGGCCAAGAGCAGGTTCTGCAAATCAATAAGGAACGAAAGACAACAATCCAGCAGTAAGCTTGCACGAGCTGGAAAGCCACTTGGGACATGTGATTGCGGCCCAACCGCCAGCTGTGCATGCAGCTCGACGCAGCTTTAACAGACGAGCTGAACATGATGAGAATGCCATTGGAGATTGAGACTCGAGACGAGGCTCAACTGCGGGCATTGCGCGAGGAGGATCTCAGGCAGCTCATGCAAGCAGTTCGCTGTATGGACCGCAAAGAGGGAGCAGCAGACGAACTTTGCAAGCCAGTCCTGGGCAAGTTTCTTCCACCCTCGTGCAACTGGATCCATTCAACAATCAGGGCACCCGACAACAAGGAGGGGGCCGAATTTGCTATAATTTGCTGAGAGTGCTACGGGCGCACATTTCGTTAACTAACCAAGTGGTGTGCCCTCCCTCCCCAACAAAATCTGGAGGGGCCGCTAATTCAGGCAGACTTTTACCCTGGAGGCCACTTCTATCTCTTTGCCGCCGGGCACACAATGAGCCATGTTCAGGGAACCGTGTGTCTTGCTCTTCTAGTTGTGTTGTTGGTTCGTTTGTGCATGCAATTATCGGTCATGCACGCGGGTCCAAGCCCACCCATCAAAATGATGGATGCCTGAGCGGGTCGAGGGGTTTGCCTTCAACTCATACTAGACGTCAGGCCAGTGCGCGTGCGCGCGCAGAAGCAGTGCGTGCGCTGTCCTTGCGCAGTGTGGAAGGAGAGGGCGGGGAGAGCGAGTGAGGAGGGGGGGCCCTGGTGGTCGGGGCCATTCCCATAAATCGGGGGATAGAGAGAGAGAGAGAGAGAGACGGAGAGAAATAGAGAGAAATAGAGAGGGCGAAAGAGGGATGGACTGAAAGTTTAGGCTCTGCCCAGATGTGCGTGAATTGAGAAGCCTCGAAGCTCTGGCTTCGAACTTGTTTAGTCGTTTAGTCTGTAGTTTGTCAGGACTGTAGGGTAATGTGGTGATGATGGTGGCGGTGATGGTAAAGGAGATGAAGATGATAGCTGCGACCGTCCTTGTGTGACGAGACGAGTAGGGGTTTGTTGAACCAGCAAGTCACAGCAAAACTACACGCCGAACCTCTGGTGACTTGTGAGTGGGGTTGAAGTGTGGCTGGCATCGCCCTGAGACTCCTGGCGGAGCAAGATCAAGCCACGAAACTCGATTCCTCTGCTTGCATCTTTGCTACTTACAATCCGAAACCTGCGAGCCCAAACCCCTGAGCTGCAGTACCCAAAACTGGTACACCAGGGGGGATGCAACGAAACCCAGACCTAGATCCTCAACATCTTGAGCCTCTTATCCGAAAAGGCCTAGGCTCTACACCATGCTGTCAAAACAGAAAGCCGAACCCTGGATCCTAAAACTCCATGAGCCTGTAGCCAACACTCTCCAACGAAACGTGCCGCTCAGGCTGAGCGCAGTTGACGGGGTCTACACGGCGAGGATCAAGCTAGGCTTCAACACTTCACCCTAACCAATATGCCTGAAGAAGGCTTTGGGGTGCTCGGGGTCTGGGTTTTGGAACGGTACAAAGGGCTAAGAAATGCGCCTGATTGAGGGTTTGGGGGTTACTGAGAAATTCAGAACTGCTCAGTTCCTTCACCCGTGGTCCTCGGGAGCCTCCCGAGTTGTGAGAGAGAACTTCAGTAGTGGATCACATGGGGGTTTAAGGTTCAGGGCTTCAAGTTTCGCGACCTGAAATTGTCATCCCTGCCTATGCGCAGTAGCCGGGGCGCCCCAACCCCAAAACCTGTGTGGAGCTTACGGCTTCAGGTGGGGGACCCCGAAAAACATGCAGAAATTCGCAGGAAGTATTGCAGGCATAGTAACACCTAGAACCCAGGACTCGATGTGTTCAAAACCCCGGCCTGCCCGATAAGAAATTGAGACAGCCTCGAGCAACCCATCTTGGGTCTTAAGCCGCACTCCGAACGCAGGGGATTTCGAGGAGCAGGACCCCTTCGCTGGGGGCTTGAGACCGGGCCGCTTGCACCTCATCGGTGGCCGCGGCATGGGTCGCGATCCGCCGGCCAGGGTCGGCCCCGTGGCGGCTCTTTTCTGGCTGTCTGAGGGGTCCAGGGCTGCAGGGATGGGGGGCGAGCGAATGCAGGACGTCATTTCATGTCGAATGCAGGACGTTGTTTCGCGTCTTGTGGGGTGAGGGTGCAGCCGGCATTGCTGGGACATGCTGAGTTGCAAGGAATGGTTTGTGGTTTCGGGGCCTGCTTTTCTCGCACAGTCAGTACACTTTGTGCAAGTCGAATTCAAAACGTTTGGGGGCTGCCAGAAAACGGCATAGTTTCATGTCGAGCGAGACAGCAAGAAAGCAGTCCAACTAAGCAGTGAGACAGTGGCAGAGTACCTCTCGGACCCTGCAATACAACAGAACAACATATAGAAAAGCATAGAAAACTGTAGCACAGTGCGGAATACATCGCCTGCTGATCGGCGTGAAACCCACCTCCCAGCACCCCAAATCCTCTACGATATTGCCCCTGTGGCTCTTGCTACCAGAATTAGTCCTAGTCTTCTTCTTGCCGTTAGTATTCATATCATTATCAGCTAGGACACCTGCGTTATCATTTAACAGATATGCCGCTCCTGCCAAACTCCCCACCTGACGATGTCTTCCGCACAGCTCAGCTGCCAAAAGAGGCAACGTTAAATCAACAACTCACATGATGCAAGTTTCAGTCT